TGATCTTCTTGATAACCCTCTGTATTCTGTTTGCCAGTATCTTGTTGAGGATTTTTGCATCTATGTTCATTAGGGAGATTGGCCTGTAGTTCTCTTTTGGGGTTGGGTCCTACTTAAAATTCTTTATTGGTGTAATGTTTCTTTTCAGTACCACCCTCTTCTCAAATTATACTAAAAGGATTTTTAGTATTAAAATTTATTAAGAATTGGCAAAATACATGTTACTACAAATTTAAAATCAGATTTTTACCCTATGTTAATTAAATTTGACTGAGTATATCCTACAAATAGATACAAGTTAGTAAACCACTAATATTATTAAATTATTATTAAAGCAAATAGAACATGTATTATATATGCTTTATATTATTAAATTGGTCATGAGTTTAGATGGATCTATACAAATCATTTCTTGGAAATGCAGTGGGAATAAAGTTAAAATGTATTTATCTGACTCAATTTAATCTTTAATAACTTTCTCTATTAGTCCTTTTGATTTATTTTATTCATTTGCTTGTTTGATTGCAGTACTAGGGATTGAACCTAGGGCCTTCACTCTGAATTGTATTCCCAGGCCTTTTTAATTTTAAATTTTGAGACAAAGTCTTGCCAAGTCACTAAACTGCTCACGTTGGGTTCAAACTTGCAATCATGTCTCAGGCTCACAGAGTGCTGGAATCATAGGTGTGTGCTACCACTATTGGTCAGCTCTTTATTTTTAATTCCCTCTATTTCCTTAATGGTAGCAAGACTTACAAATTTTCCCCAAAAGGACTTCATTCTCTGTTAATCATGGCATTATATCTTACATCATTGAATGCAATTCACACTATGTCACAAACTACTAATCTCTTGTTTACATTGGCTAGAATTAGTGAAAGCCATAGTACTTAACAACAGGTAGTTTAAGTATTTTCTCTACTGCTTTAACATTATTTACTCTACTGGGCTGTGTTACAGAGTCTTAGCTATCAATTTTGTTTATGTTTCTAGCACTATTTAAAATACTGTTTAAGTGTTATACAAAGCTCTTGTTAAAATGACTTCAGTTTGTTTATCCATGGTGCTTCAGAAAGGAAAACTGACATTTAAAGAATTAAATCACTGAAGTAATTTTAAACTATAGTCTTTTAAAAATGTTTTTAGTAAGCTATACTGAAAATTATGCCTGCATTTTTATTTTTTTCTGGAGACACTAAATATTCTATCAATTTCTTCAAATTGCCTTTTTCAGTAACACTCACTTTTAAGTAAGATTTCTGATTAAATTTAAAAATGAGGGGCCAGGGATTTAGCTCAGTGGAACCATGCTCGAAAGCACAATGTCGTGAGTTTGATTCCTGGTACCCCCCCTTCCAAAAAAATAAATTTCCAAATGAACAAATAATTTTGAATTTTAAAGCCTCAAGCATATAAAAGTTTCATTATTACCTAATAATCACATTATATACACCAAAACAATTCTTGAATTTTTAAGCCAACTTAAAAAAAATAAAAATACTACATTGTTATCATTAGTTATGAAGGCTGTCATTATTCAAATCATGCAAGATGAAGAACATAGGAAGACTTTAATAATCAATTCATATATTTTCACCTTATTTAGTTCTTCTCTTTCTTGTTGTAAAGTTTTGATTTGTTTTTCATAAGCCTTGGTTTGTCTAATAGCATCCTCTAGTTCTCGTCTCACAGAATTGGCTTCTTCAAGTTGCTGTTCCAAATGACTTGATTCTAAAAACAAAAGAAAATGTTTGTTTTACCTTTATATAAAAGCAAATGCTTGAATATGGTATAAAACAACTAAAACAATTTCCTTTCAAGAAACACTATGAATTTGGCATTAGGTCCACTGACACCAAATACCAGTAGGATTCATGACAAATTAACATACTATACATTCACTGTAAAGATGGTGAATGGCATATGCTAGTAAATACATATGCAAACTTTATGTTCAGAAATGCTTTGTGTATTTATTAGGAAAAAAACCCATGACTTCCAAAAAGAACAGCTTCAGAGCAATTAAACACTTAAAACTTAAAAACACAACAAAGCCAACCAACCAAAAAAAAAAATTTGCATCCACTATTGTTAAGGGTCATAATGCTGATGTTACTCCAATTATTGTAAAATTGCTTTGCTTCTAATAGTGTGGCTCTAGATTACCTAGCTTAATTTCACCACTGGCTATGTGAAAAATAAACTCTAACTTCTAAAACTAAATACTGAAAACCTTTGATCTCAATCAGTTCTTCCAGTTTTCCAGATAAAGTAACTCAGAAAGTTGAATAACTTGCTTCAGGTAAAAAAGGATTTGTTTTGGGGGGGTTTTTTTGGTACCAGGGATCAAACTCGGGTCCTTGCACTTGTGCAGCAGGCGGTGAAACTACTGAGCTAAATCCCCAGCCCCTGGGGTTTATTTTTTTTAAAGACAGGGCCTCACTCTGTAGAACAGACTAATCTGTATGTAGCCTAGGCTGGCCTTGAACTAGACATCCTCCTGGCCTGGCCTCCCAGGTCCTGGGATTACAGGCATGTACCATCACACCTGGATTAATAAGTTTTGAAGATATATGCAAAGATGTATTTAACTAGTTTTTAATTTATAGTAATAGTATCATTTAATGAAAGTCTTTGAAGAAAAAACTATAGGCCATAAGGTGTTTAATCCTAAAGATCACAGGGTATTCAGTCTTATGTCCAGAACAGTTTATAATTTTCTCAAATATTGGCATTTTGTAAGGAAATTTTCCTATTTAGATTAATTTCTTTCAAACACATTTAAATGACATTTTCTGTTATTTAACACCTAACATTAGGCGATTTCTAAGGTAGCCATCAATTTAGTTTGCTGTATCCAATAATGAGGAGTCAAAATTTAATATATGAAACAGTTGACATGTTATTTCCTGGTTCATTTTAATTACATGGTTAAAGAAAAATCAATCCTAATATTACTGAATAATCCTTTCTGAGCTTACTTTCTTCTGCTTTTAAGGGTTCTACTATAATATAGTTAAAATGTTTTGCAAATTATTATTGACTCTTTTCAACTGTTCTTTGTAAGAAACCAAAGAATTTAGTATTTCATGAAATTTATGCATCATATAAAGTTTATAACAAATTGTATTAGAATAGCTTCTACTGCCTATAAGGATAATTTTTTGTATTATTTCAGCACAGGTTTAACTTTAGGTTCACAACAGCATTTTATTTTGGCTGCTTTATAATGGACTTAAGTAGAGAAATATATATTATGTTTCACATTTTAGACACTTTGTAAATGCTTAAAAAGTTCAAATAATTCATTTAAACAACCTGTGAATTATGACAAGCATAAAAGGAAACATACTGAATTAAGAAATGTTAGTAAAGAGAAACTCATTGGATTTAAAAAAAATTAAATTCTCTATTGTGGAGGAAAGAATAGTGCCTTTAATTTGAAAAAGAGAATTCTGAATTCTGAAAAGACAAACTCCAAATCAAGAAAATCCAGAATGCCTCAAACTTTAGTCAACTATTGGGTAAAATGGGTTAGGCAGAGGAGCCTTTACTTTGACTATAACAAATAGTAGCATTTGATTAAAACTTTGAAAGTAATCATTAGCAAAGACTATTAAAAATATCTTAGGCAAAACAATTGGCCATAACAATTAGTTAAATTACTAAAAACCAGTTTTACTGAACAGAAAAAGCAGTACTAAAGAAAGTATATTAGCTTATACCAACTAAATATTCTTAGTTTATGGCTGCTATTAGAATTCTGAAATTCAAGGGCTGGGGATGTAGCTCAGTGGCGCCGCGACTGCCTGGCAAGTGCAAGGTCCTGAGTTCGATCCCCAGTAACACCAAAAAACCCCCCCAAAACCTCCGAAATTCCACCTGTTAGTAATGAGGAGTTAAAGAAGGCAAAATATACATGGAATACTTTTCTTTGCATGGTGAGGCATATCAGACATATAAAGTATGATCTCTGTCCTGAAGGACATAACCAAGTTAGGAAGACAAGAGTAATACTCTTACCATCATAAATAAATAAGAAAGTCAAATACAGACTGTGTGGTAGGTTATTTGTGCTAATAGGATCTGAGAGAAGGGCAAAAGTGAGAGATATTAAGAGAGCACTCCAAGTGCAACACTAGAGCCAAGCACAGTGCTCATGCCAGTAGTCCTGGCTACTCAGGAGGTTGAGGCAGGAAGATCCTTTGAGTCTAGGAGTTAGTGAGCTGTCTGGGAAACTAGTTAGACCTTTTAATTAAAAAAATAAATAAAATAGGGCCAGGGATTTAGCTCAGTGGTTTCACTGCCTGCTGCGTAATCACAAGGACCTGAGTTCGATCCCCGGTGCCAAAAAAAATTTTAAAAATTAAAAATAAATAAATAAATAAATAAATAAAGTAGAACACTACTAAATTGAAAAGGGGGTCAGAACTGGAGTCACAGGGAAGTCTGCAGAATAGTCAAACATCTTGATCCACAAGCAGCAATTCCATAGCTATTCCATTGTATTCTTTTCATAAAATAATTTATAGAGTCAGGCACAGTGGCACACATCTTTAATCCCAGTACTCTGTGAAGCTGAGGTGGGAGGATCACAAGTTTGTGTCCCACCTGGGCAACTTAGCAAGACCCTGTCTCAAATTAAAAACTGGCTGGGCCTGGGGATGGCCTAGGTTCAATTCCCAGTCCACCCCCAATTATTACTCTTCTGAGACATGAAGATATTTTACTCCTAATTATAATGGTGGTGACTGAAATAGAGATTGAAAGACAAATATTAGTTTAGGGTTAAGAGACAAAGGCAATATAAGGAAGCACAAATACCTAACCTCAAGGCAATACAGAAGTTTAAAAGGCATACTGTATACTGTAATACATGGTTCACTTAGAAAACAAAAATATCCCCTTATTTCTCACATGAAATATTAAATGAGGGTATAAATTTTTATTTTGTCCTCAAACATTCAGTAAATATTTATATACTAGTTTGTTATATGGTACCAGACATTGAAACGGGCACCAAGAATACAGTAGGAAAACTAATTTTGTCCCTACCCACATGAACTCAGAATATCGTAAGAAAAGTAAATATTAGGGCCAGGGATTTAGCTTAGTTGCACCATGCCTGCCTCCCAAGTGCAAGGTCCTGAGTTCAATCGCCGGTACCAAAAAAGAAGAGGAAGAGGAAGAAGAAGAAGAAGAAGAAGAAGAAGAAGAAGAAGAGGAGGAGGGGGAAAGGGGGAAGGAGGAGGAGGAAGAGGAGGAGGAAGAGGA